AATATATATATTATTGTATGTTAAATCATAAAAAATGATTTATGTGTTGGACAAATTTGCTTTAACTTGTTATTAAAATATATTTCTTGATAGATATAATATTGTTCTATAGATATATAGATATATTATGTTCATATATTTTACCTATAAGTAGGTCCATACTATTTTATTTAGCAACTAAAATTATTAATATTTATTTTTTGCTATACTTATATAATTAAAGAAATACTTAATCATGATATTGAAATTTAGAAATTCTTAATAGGTTTTAAAATATAATGGGTTACCTTTATTGGCCATTAATTATTCTATTAATGTTTACTGTTTATGAATTTAAAGATAAAATATAAAAGTTATATTTTAATAATACTAAAGTTGATTTTATGATTTATATTTTTGATCATTAAACTTAAGAGTATCTAGTTCAGAGAATATTATTGTAAATTATTGTTGCATGTTAACCAATTATATCAGTAATTTACAAAATAATAAAATATATAATCTATTATCTAACTTTAAGCAGCACACCGCCAGCACCTATTGCAGTATAAATAGTAGTACTAGTATTAAAATATTTAAATTATGTTACATAACGATTTAACCTCCTGTAGTTATTAATATAATACTAAAAACAATACCATATATTACAATGAACTCTACTAATATTCCACTCTATATTATATAACAACTAAAATTTATTATATTATTGATAAAATATTTTATTATTATTAGATAAAAGTATAACAAAATATCTCCTATTACATAATATTTAGAAGCATACATGAAGACGACTAAAATATATTTTTGTTTAAATTGAAATACGGTTAAATAAGGGTTGCATGTAAACTAATAAAAATCTCATTTAATTCAAAATAAATTTTTGTCAATAGGCCAGATAAAAACCATTCAAAGTCTGCCATTTGGTGACCTATGGTTTATGGTAACCTAGTGGCTAGTACTATATAGTCAGAACCAGGGCCGGCTCAAGCGAAAATAGTGAACTAGGCAAAAATTAAATTCTGCCGCCCTAACAATATAATATTATCAGTATTTTGAAAATGCCGCACTCTTACTAAAGTGCTGCTTAAGTGCCACCCTAGGCGTGGGCCTATGTTGCCTACACCTTGAGCTGGGCCTGGTCGGAACATTTTGAAATGTAGATAGACATTTTTTTTTTTTGATGTGCTATGTATATAATGTATGATGTATTTCATCTGTATATCTGTTTGATTTAATGAAGAATCTTTGACCACAATTCACTTTTGGTTTTGAATAAAATTAAGATTATGTATTTACTCTAGGTTCATTTGGTGGTTCATTGTCGTCCTTGAAAGCTCATCAATTAGGCTGCATAGTGATTTCAGAAGTACTTAAAAGAGCTAATGTCAATTCAAATGAAGTGTCTGAAGTTATTCTTGGACAGGTAAACAAAAATTTATACAATATGTCACATTTTCAGTACTTAGTAATACTAAATTATAAAAAAAATATAAGATATTATATGAATATTTTTTAGGCCCTTACAGCTGGACAAGGTCAAAATCCAGCCAGACAAGCTTCGATAAATGCTGGAATTCCAATCACTGTACCTGCTCATGTTATCAACATGCTCTGTGGATCTGGGCTGAAGTGAGTTGAAATTTAAAATTATTCATAAACATTATTTATTATATATTAGGTACCTACATAGAAAACTAACTAGTAAATTTTGTAGGATAAAAATTATTTAAATTATATGAAAACGAATAGGTGATTGTCCCCTAGGGCTGTGGTTCATGGATACCAGTCAATCAAATGCGGAGATTCTTCAATTGTCGTTGCAGGTGGCCAAGAGAGCATGAGTAACGCTCCTCATGTTGTCAACTTACGATCTGGTATCAAAATGGGTAACACAGAATTGATGGATACGATGCTATGCGATGGTTTGACAGACGCATTTGACAACATACACATGGGCATTACTGGTAAGAAATCAAAAATTATGAAAAGATAGGTTTGTATTTAAATTAGTTGAGTTATTCTAATATCTACCTATTTAACTGTGGGTTTTAGGTAATAATAGAACAGTTTTTATTCTATAGTAAGGTATGTCAATTACTACTTTTTATATTTTTATACTTCCCTCTTAAACTAAAATTTCCAATAAACAATGAAAATGTAGGTAAAAACAAAAGAATAATTTAGCTTGTATAGGTGGGTAAATAGCACGTAATTCTAAAATATTGGGCTTATGTCATTTCAATTTATTATGGCAGTATGTTTACATCTGGTTTACTACAACAATATTTAATATAAACGTTTTTTTATCATATTGTCCATTAAGCATGAACACTTTAAATCTCGTTTTAGTGTCTTTTTTAAAATAGCAAAATAAATTAGTTTACTATTTATAAGAGTTTTATATAAAACTATTAATTAATTAAATATTTTCTTTTCAGCTGAAAATATTGCTGAACAGTATAATATTTCAAGGGAACTTCAAGACAATTATGCGTTTGAGTCTCAGAAACGGACAGCAGAAGCTCAAAAAAATGGTTACTTCAAAGATGAAATAACACCAGTTGAGGTGAAAATACGACGGAATACCATCGTATTTGACACAGATGAATATCCAAAAAATGATACTACTTTAAATTCATTATCTGCATTGAGACCAGTTTTTAAACCGGTAAGTTTAAAAATGATTAGACATATACTTATAATATAATTTAAATGTTTTTGTTCATATTTAGAATGGTGGTGTAGTGACTGCCGGAAATGCATCAGGAATAAATGATGGTGCTGCAGTAGTACTTTTAATGAATGGAGAAGAATGCAAAAAACGAGGTTGTACTCCATTAGCTAAAATCGTAGCTCATGCTGAGTGCGGGGTTGATCCAAAAATAATGGGTACTGGACCAATACCTGCTGTTCTTAAGACGGTAGGTGTATACAATTTCTAATTAGTGCCAAAAGTAATTTTAATACAATATATAATGTACAGCTGTAACCTATAAAGTCTACAAATAGCTTTATGTGCATGCTTAACATACTTAACAGTGAGTAATTAATTAAAAATGTTACTACATTCATAGATTGAAAAAGCTGGTTGGACAATGGATAGCGTGGATGTTTTTGAATTAAATGAAGCATTTGCTGCACAATCAATCGCTGTAGTACGTGATTTAGGATTAAATTCAGACAAAGTAAACATTTATGGAGGTGCTATTGCATTGGGTCATCCTATCGGAGCATCTGGTATTATAATTGTTTTTATTATATGATAGTTGCTTGAAATTAAATTTAACTGAATTGTAATATTATAATTTATAACACAGACAAAGTGTATGGTAAAATGTGCAATGCCAATGACTACACTTGGTCGTCACAGGTTTTAAATTTTACATAAAATAATTAACTGATGTCAAATAATTATGAATCATACAATTGGATTGGCCATTCAGTATGTTTAACCATAAAGATTCATAGTTTATAGTTTAAATAATTATAGTCATATAATTTTTTTTTATTATTTAATATTTATCTTTTTGGCCATTAGCTATTTGTAGGGGGTTGGGTACGGTCGTATTAGAACATGTGTGTGTATGTGTGGCAAGGATTTGTCTCTAAAATCTGGGTGTTTACTCATCTGGGAACTAGTGACACCGGTCGGTGCTTGTACTCAGAACATGTTTCATGACTGAATGCAACCACCGCTGCCACCAATCATATAATTTATATTGAATTAATTATCGCATAAGTATCAACTATCAATATATTTAGACCTTTAGAACAATAAATAAATAACAGATTGTTTGTTTAGCTAAATTAATATTGTATAAAAACAAACATTTTAAATATAATAATTAAATTAAATTTTACAATTTATTAATTAATCAATTTGAGTTAATATTATGAACCATAATGTAATACATTGCAATGAAAATGAGCTTTTAAACAATTAAACTCATGTGACTAAATTACGTGATCCATTTAATTTAGGTGCTCGAGTATTGGTTACATTGGTGCACATATTGTTAAGGACCGGAAAAAAACGAGGCATAGCATCCTTATGTGTTGGCGGAGGTATGGGTATCGCTGTTGCTGTCGAGACATTATAATCAATGATCACTCAATTGTTCTCTGTACAAAAGGACATCATCAGACTGTAGGTACCACTTTGATCCAAGTCCAAAAATGTTATTAATTCCTGATATTTGTTGCAGGTTACATTACTGAGGGAATATATATTGTGCATAATCAAACAAAGGAAAATTAGTTTTGCTGAAATCAGGGTTGACAATTTTTTTTAATCTTGTATTCTATTTAAAATGTTTTTTGTTAATGGGTTGTGGGTTATGACCAAGTTTTCAGTGTTTATTATTGTTAATAATTTAAATTTAGATTATTGTTAATTCACATTGAAATATTAGTTTATTGAAATTTCTTTTTAACGATATTATCCTGTATTCAAAGTATTGTATTTTTTAAATACACCAGTCCAATTAAGATTTTTTTATGTTGATTAACTTAAGCAAATTGTATACCAGTTAATTTTAATATGTATACATTTTTATAGAAAACAATTTAATGCCTAATATTAGAGTTTTCATACATCATGTATTAGTGTACTTTTTTATATCAATACCAGACACCAGTGTAAAATTATACTTAGTTAATTATCTGAATTATAATCATGGTATAGTTCTTACCAAATGTGCCAAACATTTTTGAAAAAAATAACTTGATATACATTGTAATTTATAGTTCATTTTTTATAGTTAATTGTTAACTGAACAACAGACTCATACTTGTCTTATACTACATATTTTTGACGCTAAAGTAACTTGTTTAATTGTTTCCATATAATATAATTATTAAATACGTATAGTTAGCAATTCGGCACTCAGAAAATATTTAGTAATTATTGTGGTTATAGGTTTGGTTCGGTAAAAGCATTCACAAATTAATACAAAAACCATTTAAAATTGTAAGAAAAATGTATTAATTTCTTTACATTATTACTTTAAAATTTTGTATAAGCTATTCGGTATAAATGGGAAAAATCCATTACCGTTAAATATGATTTTATTTTTGGTAAATGGTGTAAATTCAAAATTTATAGGCTTTTTTGCCAAGTTCTTTATGGATGGAATACAAAGTTTTCCGTGATTGGCAATGAAGGAAGTCCAAATGGATGTGTCTTTTTTGTCGGAGTCGACCAGATATGAACTCCATTTGTTTGTTCTTAACATGTTATTGTCGGGATTAATATCATTATCGTTTGAATCTAATTTCATTTCCTCAACAACAGCTATAGTATCTAGACCAGAGAACTTGGCAGGAGCTACGACATCTTGCAGTATGTTATCGCCAACATACAAGCACTTTGGGTTAGACTTTCCAGTTTCTCTTTTAAATAAATCATGTAACTGATCCCAATTACCTTGACTATAAATATTGTTAAACTGTATGTTGTCCACGATATCACATTCGTTTAACATTTGAGGGTCGGTGCTATAAAATGGTCTATTCGTAGTGAAAAACCCTGGTTTTCTTGAATAAAAAACTGCTATGTCAAATAGTTCTTTCCAATTTTCACCTAATGACTGTGTAGCTGTAAAATTGGCGTAGTCGACATGTGATCCCGAAATCAGGAAAACTTTTTTAGTTTGTTTTAATTCTTTAAGCCAGTTGAGCACATAGTCTGGACATTTATTATAATATAAAGAGGGAGTAGATTTCAAGTATGGAAAATAATCGCCAGTGTTTGCTGAAAAGTTCTCCCTAGAGTACATATGGATCAAGCCTTTTAACACATCAGGCCAGACATTATAGGTTTGGGGGCGAGATATGTTATCGATGCCGTCTACACAACGTCCAAATACAAGTGACACGGGAATATCAAAAAAATCAAGAAGAGGTCTGATTTTTTCGGACATGGGTCCGTTCCATGTTTCTATAAAATTGTCTACAAACACATCGGTCACCGCCCACGTCCTGTTCGGGCCGTACACGGATACGATTTCTTCGTCGGACATGAATTTTGTGCCGTGGGCTGCTCTCAGTATTTGACCGGTACCGTTGATTTTTAAAATGTTACCTTTTTCAGCATCTAAAAACAGACCCCGCTGAAAGAAATCAAAATCTATCGGCTGCCGCAGATGTCTGTCCGAGTAATTATAGTTTTTTATGAGGTAATCGATCAGCACGTCATAAATCATCTGGACCATGGGCCCTATGCGGTATTCGCATAACGTATTGTCTAGGTCGAAACCGACACAATCGTAGTCGGACAATTTGAACGTCTCCGTCATCGCTTCCAAAGTACGACGATATCCAACGCGATCGAAGTCCCAAGTGTTGTCTTGAAACGGTATCAAATGTCGTCACCGTCGGTGATAATGTGACCCGCGCTTTTCAATTCTTAACCTGAAAAATAAATAGCGCAACAATAATTACTATAATTAGTATTAGTACCTAGGTATAATATCGTTGTCGCCGGACAGAGTATAGATCTGTCGATGGTGATTTTTGGTCGTCACTGTCGGAGTACTTCATCGGAGCATCAGACGGTTTCGGATAGAAGACCCGCAACTATACTACCCAGTAATTTACTCAATACTGCCGACACATCCTCTTCAAGACGTCTAGCAACCGGTGAGTTAAGGGTGTAATGTTTTGATGTATATAGTATAAAATGAATCGTACCTGGAAGGGTTGTAATCCGGCGGAATCGTCGAATTTTCGTCCCACAGCAGCCGCTGGATAGTTTTCGACGGACGACACACCTCGAATGTTCGGAATTTCGCTGATAACGGCATTATCAACACAGAATAAAGAATCATAAACAATACCAAGTTCATTATTGTGCTACCTACCTATGTTGTTTTAATTTGAATAGATTATTTTAATTATAATTGTGGTCAAAGATGAAACGTAATAACTCTAATCTCACTACTCGTAATAGTTCGGCAATTGAAGGGCTCCGTGCAACAACGAGACAAGTCCACTTTTTTAAAAAATGAGTTTTTCCATGGAAGAAATTCTATGGAAGAAATACTATATTTTGGTAGCAAAATCGGAAAAATCGCTTTATTATTTCCAAAGATATCTGAAACTGAATTCTTTCCCGCCAATATGGGTAAATGAGATAATGAATTTTGTTTTGCTTCTCCTGAACAATTGATAAAAATGGACTTGTCTTGTTGTTGCACGGAGCCCTTCAATTGTTATTAAAATGGTTTTTAATGACTGGTCACTGCTTTAGATAATGCTTATCTCGAAATCAGAGGAGTTAGATATATTGCCTATTCAACAACTTTATTTTTTTACACATTGATATATAGACCTCTGACGATAAACCAAGTTTGTTACTTACTACTTAGTTAAGTTAAAACAGTTCTTACAATGTCCGGTTAAAGTTAACCGACACTTAACCGGCCGAATTCTGCCGGTAATAAAATCTGTTATCAGTCGGTTAGCGTTAACCGACACTTTACCGGACATTGTAAGAACGGCCCTTAGTTAGTTAAGAGGACGTCAAACACGCAAGTGTTGTCTCCGTCTTGCAACGCGTACGACATACAGTGCCGGATCTAAGTCTCATGAGGCCGGGGTGCAACTACCAATTGGAGGCCCTTACAAAAAAATTTGCTCGACATACATAACACTTATCTATTTATTTGATACTTGTTGTCGTGTTGATATATTAAACCAACTAAAAAACACAACATTTAAATACCATAATTTAATAGGTAAATGTCACTGTTCTCATACCTATTAAACTACGCTTAGATGATGTATTAATCATTAATGTATGATTCTATGCTAGTATAATATAAATTAAGAATAAATATCATTAATATGATAATGACTGTATATTCTCTATATTGTCCTACGATGAAAGGACACAAATTTGAATCGGGTACAATTACCCGAATTGAATACAAAATTATTCATCAATCCTTTATATTTTTTTTTAATTCATTGTTTGGAACATTTTTCTCCGCATTTTAGATGCACGGATGCACCACTTTAAAATTGTCTGTTAGACATGTTTTTTTTTCAAAAGTCAATAAAAGATAGTGGTAGGTATGTAAATTATATTTAAACCTAATTATATTAGGTAACTAATTTATATTTTTAATATGCAAATGAAAAATTAATATAATAAAGTAAGAATCCAAAAAACTAAAACTGACAAAAGTACAAAATAACATATTCTTCGAAACCAATAACACTGCACCAAGGCACGTCCTTAAATCATAATCCTTTTATATTAATTAATAAATAAATATAACCACGGTTATCTTATTAAGTCTATCCAGCAAGATACTGTGCTAGCCTCTGGGATTAAACAAATAGTACCATGCCCGTACTGGCTACCTCCAAGGGGCGCGGGAAAAAATATATTTATAGGGCGCCAACTATATTTTTATATATCCGCTACCAAATTAAAAAAAATGGTGTCTACCCATGTATGTTTTATTTACAAACTACCGCCTGAAGATGTTAAACACAACTAACAGTTCACATATTTTAACCAACGCATTTTAGATGATAAACCATTTTTTCTTATACCATGGAATCTTGGTATAAGAAATTGATCTAAATCCGTATGTAAAATCTGACGAGATAAAAATCGTAGATCTAAATTATTCATAATAGTGTCTATTGTATAATTAATAGTATATTGTGTGGCAAGGGCGGGCAGTGAGCTATTTCGCCCAAGACTGAAATTGCTTTCTCGCACTAGCAAGCGACATGTGCTTGATAATTTGCGAACGGTACTTTTTGGGATTTCCACTTTACCACCAGCTGGACGGAAAAAGGACGCTTTCCAACGCTTCAACCGCTATGGAAAACCAAACTTTCGGTGCAGGCGTGACAAAAATATTTGTATACGAAATTTATCAATTTCTTCTGTGTATACTTCTTTATCACGAGTTCATTCAAACAACTTTGCATTTGCGTTTCTTCGAAAGTTTTTCTCCTATATTTCAATATCACGAAGCTCCTTTTCATCAATTGTTTTGACTGCAAAGTCAACAAATGTCTTGGCCGCCTACTGCCTACAGGCTACCTTTTTTACAATATCTCTAAAATTATTAAATTTACGATAAAAATAGCTTGTATGAAAATTGAAGATCGTACAATTTGTGACAAAAAAGGCTCTATACATTTTTAGCGGAAGAGTAATAGATAAGCGACAAAGACCAACGGTCGTCATAGGAGTGTGGCGCCGCTCGCTATAATGACTTGTATGTATTTATTATGTATTATATGAAATTTTTCACTTTTTTACGGTTTTCTTTCGTCATTAGACAATACACGTCTAAACCATAGAGTAATATTACTCTATGCCTCTATGGTCTAAACTAATAAAAAACAATTTTTTATAGAAATACGGAATTTCGTTAATTACAATATGTGCTTTATTAACTTAAAATTAAATTCACAAGTTTACAATTTAACATAATAATAATGTATTGAAAATAATTAGGTATATTTACCTACAGCTAAACTAAGTTAATATTGTTGTTATGTATCTATGATGATGCTTAATTGTGTAAATGCAGATTATAAAATAGTCTACTAAATTAATATTTACTATTTTTTGATTTTATATAATAATAATATAGGTTGTGAAGTCGACATTCATTCGCTTCTCCGTCTGTTTTGTGGTAAAATCAGATCGTCGACCACGTGGACCAGCCCATTGGTCGTAATTATATCCGTTTCAATTATTTCAGCTTCGTTGACCTGTTTATAACATTTATACATAATATGTAGTACACTAATTATTAAAGTCGCCATGTCAATATTGTTTTTATATAATTATAAATATTTAAATATCTACAAAATAAAAACGACGCAGGAAGCTTGCAAATAATATACTTAAATTGCCCGCAACTAGAGATAAATTAATTAAAACTTATGTAGGGGTTGCTAAAATGATGTAACTATTGGTATCGAAAAGCCATTTTTTAGATAGTAAAGATTCAATCTATTAAACTAGGAAATTGTTTTTGAACACTATCTATTATATATAGTATTGGCAGCTCGACTGATCGAGCATCAAAATATTAACTGTATTATTTTAATCACATATTATTTATAATGGACTTCATACCATAAACTTGTCGTCTTCGTTGGATACGCGGACGATTTCGTTTTTCGTTTTTATCTCGTACTGCTGACGCGTGCCGATCAACGCCGACGGCAGGATCCGATCGGCCCGGTGGTTGTCGAGGATTTGTCGCATGCGTGTGGGGTTGCCGAACAACCTGTTCAATTCGACGGCCCCGAGTTTCCTGAACGCATAGTCCGTGGGTATGAAATACGTATTGTGCACGCCACTGCAGAACTCGAATGGCGTCCGACCCCCCGGAGAAGCGCCCAGCACCAGGTCCATCGCTTGCGCGTACAAACTGAAGAATCGCCAAAAGCGCATTTAAAATCTCAATGAATTAGCACGTCAGTTGGTCGATATTGGGTGGGCTTGCACTATATTGTTGCTGTAGTGGAGTTACTACTATATGGGAGGGATATCGGAATATGCTGCAGCGGTCCTCAAACGTTTTTATCACACATGTAATTTTAATTGTTGACAAAATATAATAATATGATGTAGTTATTTTTATTTCAAATTAATATAATATAATAGTTACACTTCGTGTTATTATTTGACCTATTTTCTTTTTTTAAGCTTAAGCTAAATTATTTTCAACATTTTGAAAATCCAAAAAGTATACGAGTGAAGTTTCAAACAGTTTTAAAACTACTTTGGTTAGCGTTTTTCATATACAATATAATATAATATACATTACTTTACTGCAATATCTAGCCAATATTTTGTTTCAAATTTTGCCTCTAATAGTTTATAGTATCATAGAGCTTAATTTATAATTTATATTATTTAATTATGCAGAATATTATGACGCGTTGCAGGATGGCGACCAGCGAAGCTTTAAATATTATATATCTTTGTACTCGCGAGCACTTTAAATGTTTTCAATTTTAACTTCGGTCATCGCGTTAAATACGTTATAATAATATTAAAAAATATTTTTAGAGTCAATTTTTTCATTCGTTGGTGCAATCACCGGCGACGAGGAGCTATTATTAGTATACACATCCTTATTATAGTTTATACCTGAAACTATCGTTTTTCCTGATCAGGTCTTCGACGGATATCGTCGGCGGATACAATACATGGTCGACGACGTGAACGGCCCCGTTGTAGCCCCGCACGGTTTGAAAGTGAATCCGACGTCCTTCGACACCGAACTCGTTCTGGACGCACTGCAGACGGAGTTGCTTCCCGGGAGCAAAGGTCTCGACAGATTTCCCGTCGTAAATGTTCTCGGCCGTCATCATCTGTCTCCCGACGTGAAAATCTACGAACGCTCGGGCGGCACTCGGGTCGGACCGGATGTGATACATTTCCATAGGATTCATACCTATACGTCAAGTCAATTGCAAAATATTTATACACACACAGACCCGACACACACGAACGCACATTATATAGGTAGGTACGTTGGATATACGTCATCCGTCATTGGAAAACACGTACCAGTCGTTATATAACCGGGTTATAACTTATAATAATTTATACTATGTGTTCGCGTGAAGAATACTCAATAGACACATAATACAATATGGGTGTATTTATAATTATTGCGGTGACTTACATCTGAAGGCTTTGTTGGTCGGTGCAAAAACGGTTAATGCGTTAAAATTCTCAAACGTCTGCGCGAGACCGGCGATGTTGACAATCTGAACGAATTCGCTTAGACCCAAATGCTGCATGATCTGCAACGCCGATTTCCCTGCAAACCGCGTTAAGTATATAATAAATATAATATATTGTACATTCAATCTTATAGGAATTCAAAAAATGCAAATGTGGCTATACATCATACGCATGTATATAATTTATATAGCCATATGGGTGGTATTACTTTTTTTAATTCCTAATGAAAATGAACTGTTTCATAATATTATTTTATACTATCTGTAATCTGCGATACACTCTATGTTTTGCTTACACATGCAATATTCTTATTAATCAATATATACCTTCTTCGGAGCTCAGTGCAAAGTTTATTGCGTAAATAATTCCGTTGGACGATAATTTCAAATCGTTGTTGATACAGTTTCCTTGAGCCGTCACAGTGCGCTTCACATCGCAGCTGAATTTCACGTAATTATTGCTGTCCGCCAGACTCTTGACGTACTGATCTTCGGTGACAGCACTCAAACAAATAGGTGTCGGTAATATGTGCTTTAACACAAACGCTAAAGAACATTTTCAAATAGAAAATATGCGTTTGAAATAAATAAAAATAATACCTCTGCTAATACCTATTACTTTATATAATTATATGCGACATGCGACTTTTTTAACATATCATTATATCATAAAGTACCTATTATATACGAACTCTTAGGGTTACTGGTTTTTTTTATTATGAATTTTATTGGTTTATAAATTCAAATATTCATTTTATTTTTTTCAGAAAAATGTAAATATAGCTATACCTACTTATGACGTGCAATTGACGTTCAGAAGCAACAATTTACAATATAATATTGTTATTCAATTTCACACGTACCCTTGCTAAGTGTCTCGTCACTCAATATCCTTCTGAGTTGATTTTGTGGAAATCTTTGTAATGCCATATCGGTTGGCACCATAACTGTGAGTGTTTGAAATGTTTCTTTTAAACTTTGATGCATACGCGAAACTTCGAGCATTTTTGAAAATATTGTTAAGTCTCGATTCTAGAAAGACGCAAGGTTCATTTTCAAGGTTCTATTTATTCGTTTTTGTAAAAAAAACCTATTAAGTTATCTCAGACCTGGTTGATAATTTGCATCAAATTTCGATTTGAATAACTGTAAGGACTTAGTACGGAACTTATCAAATGCACCACTCCATTTTGAGCAATTCGGTTCTTACGCAGTATCGTAACACAATTTATAGTTTCGATCTACAAAATCCAATGTATTAACATTTAAAATCTTTATTCGTCATTCGAATACTATATATTTATGAATTATAATATAATGAAAGACTAGAATACTTAAAAGTGTTCAAGATAAATGTTTATACATACTATTTTTTTTTAATGTTTTCACAATTAAAACTCAAAATATGCGTAGGTATATTATTATTTTTTTTTTTTTTGGGAGGGGGGTCGAGGCTTCGAAAACTGAGGTCATTAGCCTGAGGAACTGTGGGGAGGGTACTGTAGGTTTTTGAATATATTATTATATTTTTTTAATTGTAATATAATTCGGTAGGTATACGTTTGATAATGTTATAGGTAAGGTTAGGTATTTATAAATGTAAATATCTATTCTGATATTGTTATAGGATAAATTTTAATTAATATTTTCCTTATGTATATTAAAATTTATATTATACAAGTTGCAGCTTTAATATTTTAAAACTCGATTTATCAGAATTTCATAAGCTGAAATATTGTTCGTTGATATTCTGTACCTCTGCCCGCTGTGTGAAGCGAGTAATATGAGTAATATAATATTATTAAAACTGTTATGTTACTCGGAAAATGTTGCTCACTTTTGTTGAGTACTTATTAAACCTCAATTGAAGTCCATCGTTCAACGTGTTCAACATCTCGTTGGAAGATACGTTTTGTGTCACGATCCTCAGGGGCACCACGTGGTATCTGAGTATCTCGATGGCCGATTCGTAAGACTCCATGGCCGACCGATGCGCGTTATCAATTTTCTACATTCGCGCGCACACACAAAATAAAAAAAAAATAAGATTAATTATAATATACTAGAATGACATGCATCGGCTTTTGTAGCAATTTTTCACAATATTATAATAATTAAACTATAGCAAAAATATATGAGTCAATGTACGGAAAAAGCTTCGTCGGTGGGAACGAATATCGTATACGGGCCGCCGCTGGTCAACGAATCGTACAAGCCGTGCTGCCGGACGTACCGGACAAACTCGCTGGCTCCGAGTTCTTGAGCTGTTTCCAACACGTTCTTTGTCGGTTTTACTGTAAATAATTATTAACATCGTCAATTGTTACGACTGCGGTATCATTCGATGCTCGAACATATCATATATATTATTTCTATGTGTTAAAGTAATGCTTTTGTTGTTTAAATTCCTAAATTAAATATCTTTTCACAGTCGATTTCTGTCTAATAAAATATATGAAATTGAAAATATGGGTTACCACTTAAACGTAGTCAGAAACTAAAAAAATATCTGATGATAAAAATATAAAATATACGATTTATCGATCTTAATAATGGTATAAAATCGTAAATACGTAAAGTTTTGAATACCTATATTTTTTTGTCACTCCTGCACCCAAAGTTTATTTTTCAACGACGGTTAAAGCTTTGGAAAGCGATCTTTTTCCGTCCAGCGGACGGTAAAGCGGAAAACCCCAAAAGTACTGAGCTCATATATCACAGGTATTCTATATCTGCACAAACAGACACTGAAATCTATACTACGGTCCTTACAAAACATTTTTCCAGGCAATTTCCTCCCTCGTCACACAATATACTTAAGTGGTATACAGCAATATTTACTAGTTATGTATAGTATATACTATAGCAGCACTATAAAAAATCTGTGTATTATTTATATCAAAAACTAATCTTGACACAATGAACGGTGCCGCGTTAAGATAATTATGTTTATCTCTATATCTTATAGTACCTATATGAGTATATGACTTTAATATACTTTACTCTGAAGTTATATTATTATCATGTTTACTTACCGCCGGTGCACCCTGGGCACCCATACATCGACTTGAATCCCAAGCAGCATTCATACCTCACGATTCTATACTCGGAGCAAGAGATAAAAAAAGAAAAGAATACAAATTAAATTCTGGTCATCATCGTCGGGTGACTGCAATCGTCGCAGTCCAGAGTCGGGTCACTCAACGTGTTCTGTCCACAAGTTCTATGCTGGCGATCATCTATTGGCCATCCACGCTCTCTGTACGTAGTCTCGCCGCCGTTCCCTGACGAAATCTCTTCGACAGCGCAAACATTGGGCCTGGAAATAAAATTAGTCAAAAATTCCCCAAAACTTTTCGTTGAACGACGGCAATTAATGTATCTACTGTTTTCCCGTCAAGTCTTGATGACTTGGATCTCAAGGGGAAATTAATTAATTCTACTTATGTATGCTACTATTATAAACATTTCGAGGGACAAGAAAAAAATTTGAGTCGTCGAGGCTTGAGTTATTGAGACTAGGATTATTGTAATATTGTATATATCTATTACTAATTTAGAGGTAGGATTTCGATTTTTCCTTCAATGTTTGATACGATGCTTTCAAACTTACAAATGTGTTTCAAGTTCACACTATGCTAACAATGATTTTTTTTTTTGGTACATTTTTCGAGGTTTTTAAACGTTTCTAGTGCATTATTTATTTGTTTCGATAATTTTTTAACCTATTTCTAAAAAATAATAAAAAAATATAATATATAAATACACTCAAATTGTGTACTAAAACAGTAAAACAACATAAGATAATCCGGTTTTTAAATAAAACGGTTAATTTATTTATCTTGATTTCCTAAGATTTCTGGGAAATTCTGGGAAATTTTTTCAGACATCTTTGATTAGGGTTTTATCTTTTTAAAGTCATAAATTCAGTTTTTAAAAGGGCATTTTTAAGTCATAAATGCGTTTTTTGATATTTACAAGTGCTAAATTTATTATACAGCTGCTGCAACGGCGCAGTGACACAGGCAAAAATATGTTTCGTTAATTCTCTTCGTTGTGCTTTCTAAATAATAATGCGATGTAAACAATTCATTTGTATTTATATGAACTTTAATACAACGAATACAATATTAGAGTAACGCACTGCTAACATGCAAATAACTACTTATTATTTTTTCAGTCATAAAAATTTTTATTAATATTTCTGATTGTGTTTAAATTTAAAGTTAATCGACGGTTTTATGTATCATTGTATAAGGACCATAAAAAAAAATAAAGATAACGATTACTGGTCAGTGAGCAGTGTATTATAAATGACTTACCCATATTTGTGAAGAGTAGTGTTTCTGTTGTGATGATAATAATTTCCATAAACCACATCGTACGTCAACATCAAACTCGTTAAAACAATAGTGACAATCATAGCTGACGATATACTGTGCATAATAGCTCTGAACTTTTTGAATAATAAAACTATTGTGGTAATTACAAACTATAGTGGGTGGGCTTTATATATGCTATTTTGACCGCCGGAAGATTCTGTGCAAGTAATTAAATGAAAAAATAAATAAATATCCCAATGGATTTGTCTTTGACCCATATGTACATAATATTATAATGTAACAAATATTCGCAATCGTCATATTTGCTACACGTAATATCTAAGATTTAATTATAAATGCGTATGTATTCTATTATATGACGACGGTGTGCGTATGCAATTGAACTGCATGCGTATAAAATATTTTTTTTTTATTTTCTGTTGTCGTCGTGATTAGACATTAACCTAATTCTTTTCAACAGAACTGTGTAACCATGAACAGGCCTATTTGGACATTGCCTTTGAGCAAGTATACGATAGATAAACTGGATAAACTGGGATACAAGTGTTGTGAAGATTTGCTCGATTCATTAGGTATAATATTTAATTTTTATTTTCTTTATCATCATTTTTATACGTATACGTGAAGTGTTCGGAAGAACTATTATAAATATGCAATAATTAATCATTATATTAAGTTAATTTGATTCGATTGTGTATATTTTCTATTTTGTGTGATCAAATTATATAAAATTTAAAAATTGTTTCATGACATATTGTATGTATAGACGATCCTGAAAAGAAATCTACGTTTTTACGAAAACATATGGAATCAGAATCTGATATCCGTGATATGCTAAAAACTCCAAAATACAAGACCGCTGCAGATCTAGTAAGTAAAAATATTGATTCGTTTAATAACTTATAATTAAGATTTAAGATTAAAACCTTAAAAAGTACATTTAAATTCCTACAAGTTCACTTATCTTATAGGTACTTTTAAATGCTCAAAAATATTGAAAATAATAATAATATCATAATTTCTCTAAAAAAGTATAGAAAAAAAAGTTTGTTATCTTTACATATATGACGTCCATGTTCATATGTACACACATATGTATACAGTATGCACCGATATTATAAACAAAATCGCTTACAGAATTCGCAGAATAGTGTGGAATTGTCTGAGATAAATTTTTTCTTTAATATTTTGAAATCTGCATATTTTTTATGTAATAAAAAGTATAAACATTATAACATTATTTACAATGAAATAATAAGGAAAACATTACTCAAAAATATGAAAAATAAATGGAAATAATAAATTACTTCATAGAATAAGAAACGAGAATATAACAAAATATTAAATTTCTATCAATCTCCCGCCATCGTATGCATAAACCACTTTATACCATCGTATCATTCGTATCATAAGTTAATTAAGATTATAATAGCCCTTAGGTAAAATCGGTAAGACTATGTTTCTGTGACTCTGGTGTATGCTCTCATAGGAGTGTAATTACGTATAATGTTTATTTATAACATAACTAGCTCAACGTATATATAAATGCAGAAAAAGTTCGTTTCATGTACAGGACATTGAACGCGATAGTATTGCTACGTTTTGCAAGTCCATTGACGAACTTTTAAACGGAGGTATTCAAGTTGGACGAATAACAGAATTGTCCGGAGCTCCAGGCTCGGGCAAAAGCCAATTAAGGTGAGTGTTTACAATTTTGCCGTTTTAATTTTAGTAAACATGATATTGATCCACGTTTGACTATATTTTTCAAACATATTTCAGCATGCAACTCTGCGTTTCTGTTCAAATACCTGTGTGTTTCGAAGGACTACAAGCTGAAGCAATTTATGTCGATACGAATTCAAATTTTTCCGAACTCCGGCTAACAGGTAGGCACCTATTTAAAACATAACCTTTGACTTAAAATATGTAAAACACAAAATTATGCTATAGAATCTGATATCGTGATATGTGAATATAATTCACAATAATAACATCACATTATATGTTATGTTGAGCATATTTTTTTTGAGATTTACTTCGGTAGGTACCAGATTCCCGTAATTTAAAATTATAATCCCTACCTAATATCTATATATTTATTGATCTCATAAAATATTATTAGATAAGTTTTTATATCTTTCCCAGCACAACTATAGTAGTATTACATATTTTTGTTGTTGTATATAACGCATAAATATTACATTTTGAGTCGTGTGTGTGTACATTTTATTATTTTAATCTCACTGCAGCGCGTTAAAGCGCTGTTACATTGTTATGATGATAATATCAAGTGGCTCGTTTTATTCGTTTTCAGAAATGATCGACGCTTTCCTCGGCCATGTGTCTAAAGTGCTGTCGGGACCCAATGATTTCAAAGGAGCAGCCAACAGCGAGTTGCTAAAGAGTCTGACCACCGCTGGCATGCTGAGTAAAATACACAGGGTTCAAATGAATGACCTAAACCAGCTGCACGCTTTGTATACGACTCTCGAACGTCACCCGAACGTATATATACACACAACAACGATATTATAATGCACTATAAATTATATTATATATTACAATATAAATTATTATATTATAATAATCGTTAATTTTTTTTTTTTGTAGTATACAATATGCGATTGTTATCGTATAATAACGCGCATTGCGGTTCGTTGACGGTTATTATCACTTCATGAAGGTTATTATTATTACAGGTGAAATTAATTGTGGTGGACAGTTTCGTCATGCCGCTGTACCAGGTGGAAAATTCGCTTAGAAAGAACACGCTGGTCCACAGCGCTCTCGATCTATTGCAAACGATTGCTGTCGAACACGATCTGGCCGTAAGTGACAATACATCGTATATATAATTGGGCATATATAAAAATCGTCGTTTCGTTTTAATCCGAACGCGTTTATAACCGCGTTTTATGACCATATACACGTATACGGTATACTCTCTATGGTAGCTATATGTGCGCGGTACAGTTTGTTTTTCACCACACAATAGACTTTCTGTTGTTTCAATCCGCAGTCGGTGGTTTACATATACGAAAAGAAATAACAGCACAATAATATAATATTATTATGACGTGGGACTATCGTATTATGTCGTTTCAACTATATAGGCCTGCTAATTTTAAGGCGTGCGTTGCTAAAATTTGTTCCAAGGTTATCGTTGCGAATTTACCATGTATAATATAGTCAGCATATCAGGGTCAATTGTTTTCACAGACCGATACAATATAAGTTTATCGAACAACTGCATATGTATGTGTAGTAATGTACAAAATAAATGGTCAGATCGAGATTGGAATACTGGTGTACATATCATATTATAAATGTTTGCGGCCTACATCCGTTTGTATTATAATTGACGCATTTAGTTCAATTCTGTTCGTAAGAATTTTCAGATAGTTTTGTTGCAAACAATATAATTAAACTGCAGCTGGCTAAGAGTTTGAATAATTTTCGAACGATTAATAGATCTAAGCATTTTTATTTTCATAAACATAAAATAACGCACGCAAAGAGTGAATTTAGAATAATATGCTAAAACGCATTTCAACTAAACGCCTCTTAATTTGTGCGGGTTTTAGTGATCGTTTATTTTTCTTTTGAAACTTTATATTTTGGTCTACCTTAATATAATATAAGACATAATAGCTATATTATCTAAAATGCACTACGCCTGTTTCGTGTAATACATACATGTAATTGGTATTTACCATTTGTTATAGGTACATCATGGTCATACTAGTGCATGATTACTTTAAAAAGTAATCTAATTTTTGGTTTTGAAATTTTTCCCTTCCGGAAACTTATAAGATACATGTAAATATGCATCTATAATATTTTATACTGCATTTATTTTCACACACATTCGGTTGTTGGTGAAATCGCTATATTCATACTTTTGGTCATATACTAGTGCATGATTACTTAAAAAAGTATTCTAATTTTTGGTTTTGAAATTTTTCCTTTTGGGAAACTTATGAGATACATTTAAATATGCATCTATAATATTTTAAATTGCATTTATTTTCACACACATTCGGTTGTTGGTGAAATCGCTATATTCATACTTTTGATTTTTATATGCATATTGGCACTCCAATCCAAATATCGAACAAAATACGACTTATTAATAAATAATAGGCATTTTAAATTTGGATAAAATGTTAGGAATCTCAAATCGTCCATTAAAAAAAAAATCGAAAAATTAAAAGTAAATACATCCTTTTCGATGTAAAAAATGTTCGTTGTAAAACCTATAACCATGCTAACCTAACCACTTATATGCTAATTTTTTTTTACATAATGTGCTTGCATCTGATTCGTTATGTACCTCTATATATGCATCATCGACGACTTAGTTACGTTTAGTATAAAATTACAGGTGTTACTGACCAACGATCTGACGACCGCGGTCACCGAAAGCGGCACGGAAGTCTTTCCGGCCTTAGGCGAATCGTTCGGCCATCGCGTTCAGTATAGACTTCTGCTGAGCAAAATTCTCAACCGACCAAACGAGTACACAGCGCTGCTGAAGAAAAGCGTCGAACACGGTCGTTCCGCTGCTCGATTTACTGTAAGCATAATATATTATTGCCCACCCGTGTTACAGTTTATGCCTACATAATATATTATAGCTGGGGTGGTGTGGTATAATCTATACAGAGTGGTGAAATTGTATGCACTAAACAGCTGCTGTTCGACATGCTCGCTGCACTTGCGCATAAAAAATTAGCGATATACCTATGCAAAAACGTGCTCTTAGAAATTATTCTAAAAATGCAAAATTAATTATTTTTGTATAAAATTATAAAAATATAACAACACGCCCATCACCATAACAGACGACAACTGTTCAGTTTTTAAATAATCTGATCATTTTTACCCTAATGGGTCACATTCGATAATTTGGCGTACCCATATACTTGTACTTAAATAACATAGTTCATTATAATTTGAATTAGGTAAGCAAACCTGCTTGCATACCTATACATTCCGTGTCTAGTTCCTAAAACTATTATATGCTTATTTCTAGTACCTATCTGGGTATTATTTTCATTTTTCGTCCTATAGGCTATACCCGTTTCACTTTTGGCCATTTACACAAAATTATGTATGTATCGTCTTTTGTGAGATAACCTATCTGTTTCTGTTAGGTTATCAATAACTTATCATATTAAATGTAGCATTATTATTATATAATCAAATACCGACCATATAGTAACTATTATTTGCATCCAACTGAAAAGTAGTTTGATCTCACCATCAAAGCAGCTAAGTGTATAGACCCGCGTCCCAAAGTTTGTGCATTTTTATAAGGTGGTAAACCATAGTACTATATGGTCCGAATAACACGTGCGGCAATGGTAAAGTAATAACTATTATGAATTGCTTGTTTATGACGATTGTTAGTATTGCATAATAATAACATATGTCGTACCTCTGTCTTATAGAAATAATATATAATATTTTATATGATGATTCGATTTTTTTCCTTCCGTCAAACGGCGTTAACGGGACTTTATTCGTGATTAATTAGACCGTTTCACTGAAATAATAAGACAAGTGAATATACGTGCGTCATTGCAGGCGGCCACCAGCTAATTATTTCTTAATATTAGGTTTAAAACAGTCATCGTACGTTCGTATAGGTATTTATATTATCGTACAGTATCTGTTCACTTGGCCGGTGGCCATCTGTAATATGTATTTCTTACCCTATCGAAAAAAAATGTTTATAATTGTTTGCATATATTATATTCGCGTATTATACCACACAGATATTAAAACAAAACGTATAGATAACTCGCGGATTTTTTTATTTTATATAAATTGTGTGTAATAACTAATAAGTGCCCCCACACGTTCATCGAACTCATTTGATCTCAGAATATATGTGTAAACGGTTAATGATTTAGGTACCTATAAAGATCTTTTGAAAACTATGCGTGGTATTCTAAGTGGGTACCTGTTATGTTATTCGTTTTTGTTGCGAGTTAATCGAATTTTATGATAAACCTTTACATAATATTACAATATTAAGAGGACGTCTCACCCGGATGTGTTGTCTCCGTCTTACACACGTACAACATATCAAATTTTCGTTTGCTAGTTTCAATAGGGTATTGTCAGTTTTGATATTAGAGTGAATCAACCTATTATCAAACTTTTAGGTAACAACATTATTTGTGTTCTCTCGTTGGTTTTTTACGATATTTTAATTTTTAAGTGAGTTATGAACATTTTAGAATATGAATACTTTACATACCCACAACTCACTTAAAAATTAAAATATCGTAAAAAACCAACGAGAGAACACAGATACTGTTCTTACCTAAAAGTTTGATAATAGGTCAATTCACTATAATATAAAAACTGACAATATCCTATTGAAACTAGCCAACGAACATTTGCTATGTCGTATGTGTGTACGACGGAGACAACACATGCGGGTGAGACGTCCTCTTAAGTTGAACGATTAATGTCTGTGAATAAATTCAATCAAACTCAAATTTTCAATAACGTTCACCTGTATTTTAAAACAAGAATGTATAGATCTCGATGTTTTGTTGACACTTGGCATACCACTATAATATATTAGTGTGTGCGTATAGTATGGGTTATTTGGAACGTATATTGTTATTTGTTGTATTTAATATTATGGATAGGTGTCATAGGCGCAACTAGGGGAGGTGCTAGAGGAATTTTAGTGTGTGCGTCCCAAATTTTATCAGTTTTGTTTTACAGATTTCATCCGATGGAGTACGCGATCTGCCCATGGAATAGGCGCCGCAGTAGCCAAGTGGCTGACAGAGGAATGATCGGAAATGAAAAATAAGACTACATGATTGTTAGGTACGTGTATTATTGTGATACAGTGCAAGTCGGACATACGCATAATAATATATTGTATTTATTATAAATTAAAATATCATTATGTGTATGTAAATAAAATAATTTACATAATAAAATCAAAATAATTTTTCAAATGGTTTTATACTTTGGTACTTGTACATGCGCTTACTTACACGGTTTAACGACCCGGAATATTAAAAAGATACTTTCTTAACGGCTATAATATAGCGTAGTTTGCAGACACAAACACTGCATGCGTATAATATTATACAATGGTGTCACCCGGCACCTATTATTATTTGCGGCGCACACCATTCACACGTCTCGGAAAAAGGCTTCGTGGATCGGTGGCGACGAGGCAAGGTAAGAAAAAAATAATATTAAAAGCTACTTATAACGATAAGTGTCCGTCAAAAATAATATTTTAATGATGTATTGATTTGCAGTATATTTGCGCACGTCGTTCGACGAACTTTTCGCACCGGTGCACACGTCATATACATGTCTGTACTTATATAATTTAGGTATAGGGTGATTCATAGTACGCTGATTTTGGAAGTAGAGTAGTTTTCAAAATATATTCAAGCTCTGAAAAGTGTTATACTTTTCTAAATAGTTAAATATACCTAATAAATTATTATATGAATTATTTATAAGGACCTATATTATTGTTAATTGTTATATAAATATAAGATATTATACGAGTGGAGCGTAGTGGATCACGGCTGTCTTAATCCTGAAACAACAATTTAAGAATTACATTTTTTTTATAATACAATTAATTGCGCACCTTGGAACTTCTACAATAATCTACACGAAACGTCAAATAGACCAATTTCATATCGTCACAACTCACAAGTACCTACCTATCTATATATGCATTATGCTGTATAATTTGTCACCTAGGCTATTGCAAACAGTATGATTTTATTTCTTGAGGAGAATGAGTTACCGATATTTTTTGTCTCCGTCTTTCAGACGGGTATCACAGTATAAAATGTAAAAACTACTCATTTTGCGTCCAACGATGTAGTAGAGCGATAAATATTGTAAAAACACAATTTTAGTTTAGCCTGAACAATTTAAATATATATAACAACTTTTTTAAATTTCACTCCCTAATTTCTAAAAATCGTATTAGAAAGTTTAAACAATTAAAAAAATGTATAAAATAACCAAAATTAAATTTAAATAAGTGGCCTTGATTTCAGTACAAATATCGTGTGTACAATTTTCTCTGGATTCATATATCCGTTTTTACAGTATAGGTATTTATCGCATCAATATACAAAGATCGTACTGAAACAGGACTCAAAATGGGTCGTTTTTATACAATACGTTGCATTTCATGTGAAGGACAGAGACGACAAATGTACCCAGTCTCCTTAAATAATACGATTTACGAACAGCCGACGACCAATACATTACGACGTTCAACATATAATGCGACTGCTTTCGATATTCGCCGTGAACCGGTGTACAGTCTTCGACCGGAAGTCGTCCATTACATATTATAATAATATATTTTGGTCTTATCAACCACGAACCATACTTCAAAAGCGCCGAAACTGGTGCAATCGTCTCGATACCATCCGAGAGCCTGCAGTTTAAGTAGTCTCTTCGGCTTTCGGCGATTACGAATATTTTTGTTCTAAACACATCGCCCACACACACAACTGCAGACGCACTGCACTATATAATATAATAAGATAATAGTATATTATAATCCGATGCTCTCTTACGCGTGCCACGCTTTATAATTATATTTAATCTCAAAATCGCAAACGCATCATAAGTATATGTTATAATAACTATTGTAACAAACCACTCAAAATTACTATTTAATATAATATTATAACGTAGACCAGGTATATAATATGTTATGAAAATGATTTACGCGCAACCACTAAAGCAATATACTGCAGTTGATGAAACGCTGCAGTGCTGTTATAGTTTCTTTGGTACTTGGTTTAATAATATTGCACGAGACGTATACGTTTGACATATTATAATATATAACGGACACGGATCAGGCGCAGCGATGGAAAGAAATAAGTATCATATTATAATACAGTGTGTAAACGGTAATCGAGAACACTCAATATCTTTGCGTAGAGACCTGCTATTTGAATTCCGTTTTTTTGGCAGTTGTTATGACATAAAAATACACATTTTTATGGTCTTTTTACTTAACTAGTCACGCGCATGCGCATGTCAACTTTTTTTTTTAAATGGCAACCCCCTGCTTTAACCACTAATTATTTTTTGCCTATTTTTTTAATGAATTTTGGTAGTTGAATCAACTTTCTAAGTCCAAAATTGACCAAGTTATAGCCAATCAAAAAAAAAAAAAAATTAGAAAAAAAATTTGCTCGATTTTCAGCTTTTTGATTGTAACTCTGAAAATAATTATTTTAGGATTGTTAAACATTGACATTTTTGTAACTATTTATTACGGTGATATTCAAAGAAATAAACAACATACTAATTTACGTTTTTTTCTGCTATAATAAGTTATATGATTTATTACACAAATTAAAGAGAAAATTATTCAGTAATTGAAGTTAAAATAACGTATGAATATCACCGTAATAAATAGTTATAGGTACTAGTAATAATATTAACGATTATTGTCGTTATCGAAAAAACCCGATTACTTTTTTCCATCGGCCGATAATTATAATAATATGCCGTTGTAGACTAAATAAATATTCAATATTGGTATATATATTTATTCATAATATATACTTACTATGTTATGTATAATAACGTGTTAATAGGAATTAAACAGTCTCTTGCTAATAGCATGCATATATAAAATATTATAATATGAATGATTTGCGTCATAATTGTTTTAAAATTTCGTATACGCGTTGTATTAAATATTATTATTATTATTATTGGTAATACACGTTCGTTTTCATACGGCCCATTATTTCAATGTGTTAATATATTCTTAGTAAATTACAGATGGAATAATAATTAAAATCGAAAATACATTTCGAACGTACCTGCTATTACCATTCGACGTTACCGGTATCTATATTACATACAACAATAGACTGCAGTTCGTTATAAAACAATACTCGTATCCCTATACTAATTGAAAACAAATCGACGTATGGACGATACGGTTGTCGAATAAATTATATCAGCCGAGACTGTGACAGTGCGACTGTAATATAATTCATGGCGTCTCCGTCCCGGCTGCAGTCGGAAACTCTATCGTTTCTCGGCGAAATACATCATAATATTAAGCTCGTTCTAAATAGGGGCGTGTCTGGTGTGAGGGGATGAAAACTTTATAAGACTATGGGTGAATTTCATACATTAACCTATATAAGTATAGGGTATAGGCATACATTTTTAAAAATTGTTTGAGGTTGATAATTCGGATGCTTAAATGCCTTAAATAAATAATAATGACTGTGACTAGAAGCGGGAATTATAATCTTTTGCGTATTTTTTTTAGTCTATGCAGAAAACGTGAAAATTAATGGCAAAAGTTTCTTTTGCATATTTGAGAATATTTCGTATAATAAAGAATATATTAGAGAATATATCACTTGATTTTATAGATTTTCGATATTTTGTGTTGCAGTACCTAATATAAATTATAGATACCCGATAATAGTATATACGTATTAACATAGGCGCAACTATAGGGTTAACATTCTGGGAGGGGCTAACAAAAAAATTTATTTAAAATAACTCATAGGGGGCTTATATCTAAATCAATAAGAGATATATTTTTTTTTTGGGGGGGGGGGCTAAATCTTAATCAAGGGTGGAGGAGGCTAAGCCTACTTGCGCCAATACATATTAAGTAATATATACCAACAAATATTCGATAATTATACCAAATATAGTAATTTTATAGTCTGTAAATAACAATGAGAAATTGTCATTTATCTAATTTAATTAAATAAATAAAATGTTATAACTTATAAGTTAAAGTTATTTTTAAGCTGTATTATTTTTTATTACCTATATACCTATTTATATAAGTTTTTTTTTGTATTATCTACTTTATTGTTTTGCATATAAACACATATTTTTAATTTAAGAGAATATATTATTAATATTAAAGCATATTTTTTACATAATATCCTACTATGATTTTTAAAGAACATTGGAAGAATATTTTCAAATTCTTAAGAGAATCTTATTCCGGCCTCTAATTATGACCAATCGGTCAAAAATGTAAATGCATACCTATTATGATTTATTAATTATTATCAACCAGAGAGTTAATGTGCAGTATTTTTTTTCACACACACATATAAACCTAAAATAATTATTACTTGCACACACATAGCTGGTATATGTACGTGTGCAAGATTAATGTTAGTTATCTTACATTTCGATTTAGTCGTTGTAGGAAGGTACCTATAAGTTACATACGTAATACGTATACAATGTATGTACATAACTAGCAATGCAATAATATAACGCCCATGCACAAAAACACAACAGAATCAACATTGTTTATATTTTTAGAAAAAACTTTGATAGACCCGTCATCTGTGGTGAGAAAGCAGAGTTTTTGTTTGCCACTTTAGTAGGCGTGGGTGCGTCATATTATATAATATAAAACGAAAAACAATTTTTTTCGATTTTCGATTTGTATCTTCCTTGGGTGGGGGGGGGGAATAGCCACAGATATATACCACCGCTTTACCTATTGCAGGTGTCATACGCAGTGTACCTACGGATTTTACATATATAAACGATTAGCCGAGAACCTGGGAAAACTATGATATGTGTGTGTGTGTTATGTAACATGTGAGCTGGTATACATATATATCGCGGAGCGAACAAAAACTTGGCCGTGTCAAAAGTGCCGTTTTACATATATATATATACGCGTCTTACAAAATACAGTTATATACATGCATTCACATCTGCATATATATATAATCACTACAAGTATACAAGTAGCATGCGGGACACCGGAGTCGTGTGTGAGTGTGGTGTGTACGTCACGAGCGAGAAGAAAGCGAGAGATTAATAGCGGAAAAAGGATTTCGTTTTAACATAATATATAAAATAATAATATAAGTAATGCCGGCGAGGTCTGTGATGCAAGTCGTGCGTCTCTCCTTCCGACCGCGTGCAGCACTTGTACATATTATACGCATGTATAGTTGCTACGGACCACACGAGATCCGGCCCCACGTCATCATGGCAGTGTGCTGTCGTACGTGTACAAATATTACAATGATACGATGGTAGAACGCACGCGAGGCACATTATGTGGCACGTCATATTGGCCGAAAAAAACACCAGCAAGGCACCTGCAGGGTCTGCGGCGTTAACGTCTCCGGGCCAGTGTGGGTCCAGGAGACCCGTGGGCCTCGTCACCATCCCTCGCCATTGACGTTCCTCGTCAAACAATATATTTTACCCATAATATCCCGATAATATTATTGCTCTTCTAATATGCCCCCGAAGTGCTGAGTGCTGTTTTCAAAATCCACTGTTGGTCTATTTTAAAACAATAAAACAATCACGCAACAGTCGGGCAAATACAATTGTCTCCCAGCGCACCCCATGCGACCCCCTTAAACTCAATTGCGTGCAACGCCGAACTTTCCTATTTTCGCTTGTCACTTGTCAGAGCTTATATCTCCAATGAACTTTTGACCTCCCAAAAGTACTAACAAGGTCCAATTTGCTTCCAGAAACCACCCTCAAACACATGTCATGATAAAATCACTCTATATTGTCCCTATAGGTATTCAGTTTTAAATAACAGTGTATAAATCGTCCCCGTTCATGCAAAACACACTAAGTCCAAAAACATGATTTTTGAGTATGAGCTTTTGCAATTTTTCCAATCTATAATTCCATATTCTGCGTATTAAGGAAAAAATCGAATGGACTTAGTTAACATTTTGAATTGTATATTAAACATCTTTAAATAATATTGGGACTCAGTTGAGTACAGCATATTGTAGATATTTTTAAACTGAATTTTATATGACAATAAACCGGAAAACCCGATTTTTGGACTTAGTGTGTTTTGCATGAACGGGGACGAAATTAAACTTAAAGTTCATCGCTAAATGTTAAAGTTTGGTATGGCAATTTTATTGGAAATGGAACCGAAACTTATCTCCATGGCTCCATCTATAAAGAAAATTGGATGATTAGTGATTACGCTAGTTTGTGATTACACCCATGCCCCATCGTACACGGTAGGACGATGAACACCAACTAAACATTGTTGGCAACGGCCACTTCAGTAGCTTATATTCGATTTTTTCTTGTGGAGGGGGGGAGGTAATTCACGTTTAATTTGAAACACATGAATATTTGAAAACGTATACTTATATTAAAAATAACAGATACTATCGGGATTTTCACAATAATTTGACATTCCTTTGATCATTGAATTTATAATAGGCGCCTACTATCGTACTTCTAGGTATTTATATTTTTAATCGTGACCTTTTTTTATTCTGGGGGGGGGGGGGGGGGGTAAACATTTTTTACCATACCTGTAAAACTTTTATTACAGTCTATTGAGTCTGTAAAAATGGGAACGAAGATGTTAAATTTGACGGTACTCAGTTATAACTCAAACATGGACTCAAAATAATTAGTATGCACCTAAAACAACCCTGGACTCGATTCGTTCTACAAAGTTTTATTGGGACTAGGTTCGTAATTCGTATGCAGTCATTTACCTGTTATATAGACCAGCGATTGCACTCACGCGTCCTTGAGGGGGGGTCGTCGACATACGTTAATTCTAGATAATGGGAAAATACTAAATAGAAAAACGACGACATTTGATATATAATATGACCGTCGCGGAGGGCGTTTGCGCGGTTTTCGGCCGTAACCTTTGGGCTAAGGGTACGGGCGGCCGCGCGCCTGTCTCGACTATAATTCCCTTCCCGATGCCACGTGCTCGCGAGCTTTATATTCGAACACTCGTGCCCTCCAGTGGTTAGTACAACGCGAGAAAAGCACCGAACTCGATTCGCGAACCGCAGTCGTCGGCGTCCAAGTGTGCGGTCTCTTTTTTTTGTCGGCGCTTTTTCCACCCTCCGGCCACTTACTACTGCAGTATTTTACCGTCGTCAGATAATTTCTTGTCAGTTAATTTTTTCCGAAAACCGCGATCCTCGATAAACGGGCACGCACGAATATCATACGTATATAAAATGGGGTGCGGTGGTTCGACAATGCCGATGCCGGCCATGCCGACCGAGGAATTCAGCAAGATGAAATTGGAAATACCATCACGTTAGAATCACGTTTTATTTTCGTCGAAATAATGATATTATAGCATTATTATTTATTGCGTATGTAGAAAGACATCATACTGAACATTTTTTTGTTTTTTTTTTACAGTTTTCTTATGATCGCATTTGATATCACTAATATAATAATTCATCGCCGTCGTCCGAATAGTTTAGACATTTTTCACTGTTGTATAGGAATGAATTATTCACACGACTGTAAATATTTCACACAACTGCCCTGCGCAGCTCCTTCTTTATGTACCTATACAAACTAGTCTCAAACTTATTTCGATTCTTTCAAGAGAACTTCAACGCCACTATTTTTATATTAATTTTTAAATGAGTATTATAACTATGTAATATACTAAAATATTACAGTTTTAAAATAATCATAAATTCATAACTCGCTTTGAAATTAAAATTTTAATAAAAGCCTCAATGAGGTGTCTAATAGATAAAAATATTCTCGTCAATCTTGCCCTTAAGTTTAAATAATTGGTCAATTTACTCTAGTATTAATGGTTAACAACACAAGGTTGATTCTGTTGACTGCAAATTTGACATGTCACGCGTAGATCAGTGAGAGGAAACCAATAGTGAGCTGACATCTTCTTAAAAATATCACTCTATAATATGCTTGTTTATTTATATAGACTCGCTGAGCTCGTTATACGCACGTCACTATTGCATAATAAACACTTTTCACGTGATCAAAGTACCTGTGAATTACATTTTAGTCGATGGTAACAATTTGTCAAATATTTTAGAATATATTATTGTTGTTATCGCGTTTGTTAGTGGTGTCTTGTCCGTTTCCATATTGCTCACTAATACGTTCAAACATTTAACTTAACTTATACTTACTTATGTGTGTGCAAGCAGCTATTGCGTTTAGCGTTCCGTTGACCGAAGAAGAAGAGAGTGTCGTAAAGAAACATCCACCGAAGAGACTGAGAATGATGGAGGGGCAACAATCGCCGCCGCTAACCCATGAGATGCTGTTGGAGAAACTAGCGGACGCCGATAACAGACGACAACAGGTGACGCCCATAAGATAATATTATAATTTACAACATTCGTGTGACAATAATAATCATTTTTATACTTAAAATTAATTATCATTATTGTTATTGTTGGGTATATTATTAATTTATTAAATTATGTATAATAGTATATAGTGAATGGCATACATTATACAATTATACTTATATTATGTTTCATACGTAGGTATGTGGTCGGAAGGAGGACAGTTCAGCTGTACAATTTCAAAACACAGTAACACAGTTTTTCATTATTTTGCAGGATAATTAATTTAGTAAATTATTTCAGACCTATAACACTGTGTAATTGCTATGTGTTCAGAATGTGATAACTCCTGAAATAATAGTGCGATTCCAAAGATTTTTGGATAGAAAAATTCAGCACGAAGAGTTACCAAAGATTATGTAAAAAAGTTACTTTTGATAAGAGTTTTGGTTACTGTGTTTTTGCACTGTACAGCTGCTGAGTTGTATTGCTGCGATTAATTCGAAACTAGAATCGGTCGTCACGTTATTACTTATTCACTCGTTTTCCATATTATATAATTATAGGGAGACACGTAAATAATAAAACGGATAAATAAAGAGTGTCGCATACTGGATGGTAATATAGGTACCACGTGATGGGGTAGGGGTCGTGGTTTTTTTTTTTGTTAAAGGCTGTTGACTTTGCGGACGAAATATTATTAGGCATTTGATCAACACGTCAGGACTTGAAGTGAACTAATAACATGTTATTACCAATTAAAAATAACATTTTGCAAATAATAATAATTTATAATGTCTTACACCACGTGCATACCTAAGTATCAATTATAATATACCTACGGCGGAGCAGTGTTAAAAATACACAAGGGCATAATTTTATTTGCGAGTTGGATCCGTTGTTGTATCGATTACTCCTGCATAGTATTTTGTACCTATATTATTATTGTACAATACATTAATTAAATTATATTATATATTATGCATAATACAAGGTTATTCTTCTAAATGCAAACACTAGTTTTTTCAAAAAGTATTAACGTTATTTTAGAAACATATTTTTTGAAATAACTTGAACTTGTTACAAAACAACATTTTTGAAAGCAAACTATTTTTATTATTTTTGAAGGTTTTATGGTTCTTAACTATTATGATATTATATTGGTGGCATATCTACATTTTTCATTTCATATTTTATGCAGAATATTCTTCTAAGAGTTTAATTTTGAACGAGTTGTTGATTGGTTATAAGTTATAACTTAAGTATTTAAAGTTTAGATATAAATAAGGGTAGTGGACCAACGTTTAGCGGAGCAGTTACTTCAGTGCCACTCCACTCTGTTCATCAAAACTTGAGTTATTTCTAAATTTTGATCTTTATATAGGTATTGTTATATCACCCCTCGACCAGACAGTAAAAATTTTATCACCCCGCCACCTAGCAACCGTCCATCTACATTAAACAGTCTTTAAACTAAAAAAATTGAAATTAACCTTTCTCCGTATCCTAATATTTTATATATCCAGGCAAATGTAGCTTTGAAAAGGAAAAGGGGAAATACTATATTCTTATAGTTAAAACTTTGGATTTAATTTTATGGCATTTCGTCATTGCATGCGTAGTATCAAGTGCGTACCTACTTACACAAAATTCATTTTAAAATATCATTAAAATGAATTGGTATTATTCAGTTATAATATCGCTAAAATATTAATATTGCATTCAACTCTTACGTTAAATAATATATTGTCAGAACCAAGGACTTATAATAAATTATAAAATCGCTTTATTTTTGTGTGTTTATTAAGTGTAATTATAGAGTATTAATTAGATTTACTGTGCTACGCAATACATTGTAAGCAATAGGTATTATAATATTATTGATTGTAAATTATATTATACGGTATATAAATATTGATGAGTATGCCGGATGGTCGCTTGGTGGGACGATAATATAAGCAACTAGGACGTAGGTACCTATAATATGTACTAAATTTAAAAAAAAATCGACCGAGTCGGTTCTTATTGGGTGGGCCAGTGGCTGCAGTCTGGTGTGCTACAATTCTGGTGGGAACGGATTTTGTCGTTTGAACATCATTAACCCCTCCTGGTAAAATATTTGATTGGTAATTTTGACATTACTGGACTTAACAGTAGGTACCTATAACAGGTAGTACGACGACACCACCAGATAATATACCGATAACATTGGTAATAGAAGTATGACCTATATGGCTATATATCAGAATCAAAAATAATTAGATTTGAAAAAAATTGTAATAATTTTTTAATTCTTCTCGAATCTAGTCAAACTAATTACATTTTGTTTTAACAATATTTAAAAAAAATCGATGTATCGATGCTCAAACACCTTACGCCCGATATTAACTTAGTATACAAACAACAACGATGAATTTAATTATCACGTTCAAAAAATGTTTTAACCGTTTGTATTATACCTTCAAATTCGCAAGCACTTATGTTTATTATTTTCCATGTCTGTCTGCAGTATCTATATGCGCATTTCATAAAACGCTTAGGGAAACTATCTGTAGATAGACATCTATATTCTATGGAAAATAAAACACAGCAACTACCCATAAGCTGTTATAATTTCCAATCAAAAAAATATGTCTCACGGTGTTTTCTTTTTTTTGGTATCGATAAATCCCTCGGGGGATTTCGATTGGGATTTTTTTAAGGCGTACGTGGACGTGGTATTATACAATTTTTGTTGACCATTGCAGTGTACACGAATACCGTCTAACAGACGTCGTCAGACATTACATTATAATATATTATTATAATATTATAAAGTGATAATGGTAATAATAACGCATTGTGCGTTCACTGTTGACGAATTCATATTTTTATTTCCAAACCAGCTTTTAACCGCGTAAATCGTAATGATGATAATTGTTAATTGACACGAGTGGAATACGCGATAATAATAATATAATAAATGTGTAAAGGTATTCCGCGTGACGCAATTCCATCAGCCAATGGTACGAGTTATGAATTGAATTATAATGCGACGTAGGTATCGAACTGTGTACATACATTTAATAATAATCATAATAATATATTATGTTAGCTCTTCAACGTGCTTGCAAATAATATTTTATAAAATAATATAAAACATATATGGTGCAACTGCGGATTAAAGAGGTCTTGTAAATCGTAATTATTGATTTCAAAACTAGACACGATATAATATAATATAGGGTGTCCCGTGAGGATTTACTCATTGCGATATCTCCTAAAATAATATAGAGATATCGTAATTCTGTTCTCTTATTAAGACTCACAGAGGTAAGCACTACAAATAACTAATTTTTTATTTTTTTTTTTATGTTTTGGTAAAAAAGTTAAAAAAATTATTTTTTTAATTAATTATTTAAAAAAATATTGAAGATTGCCATTTTGTAGAGTTCATTTTTCTGAAAATATTGACGTTTCAACATTTTAATTTCATTAATTTCCTGATTTCCGGTTTTTGTCCGGGCGACGAGTCCCCCTCTACGGCTAATAGGTATATCCTCACGGGACACCCTGTATATGTATAAAACAATAAACATGATATCATTGTACGCGATGTATCTTTTGACACCTCACGACACGACTATGATGTCATGATAATAACATTATATGTTATCATTCCGGTCGATTTTTGAGACCGCAACAGTGAATGAAAATATTGTTGTTCAAGTACTGCAGTGGTTGAGACCGGTTGCAATATTTTTTTGCAAAAAAATAAAAATCGATTTTCTTACAGATCCTAAGCCAGAGGATAGAATCGGCCAAGACGCTGATGCGGCCGAGATACAACAGCGCGAACAAGATGAACGCCGACGACGCGTTGGTGGAGAATACAGACGACGTGGGCGACGAAGATTCTTAAAAAAAAATATAATAATTATACCTATTTAATATTATTTATATACCATAAAATATGTCCATAATAATTATTATACTGTTCTATCGTGTATTAGACAACAACGATATACTGTCGTACTGTTTACGTATTTATTATACACGTATATAATTATAATTATAATTATTATAATGTTATGATATTTTATTATAATTTATAGCCGTTTACCTATTTCATTTTTACACGCTCATTTAATGGTTGCGTTTTGTATATTATTATAAGAATATAGCGAGCAGAGTGTTCAAATAAAATATGCTTCCTTTTAGCTTTTCTGTTAGGTATTACAGCGTCAACAGTGTCAATACATTAATAACAGTAAAATACCTAAATATACAATTAATGCGCGTTGTTTTCCAGACAATCCACATTCCAGACTCATATACGTGTACCTTTACCTAATTACATATACTTTAGATGTTTTTAGGTTTGAATTGCTTAATAACATAGTTTTCAGATGATGTTTTACGAGAAAAAACGCTTAGATGGGACCCCTCAAAAATGTTTCTAATATTTTAATTCACGAATAAAAAAATACGTTGTTGATTTTACATTTATTAGTTTTAAATTTTATTTGATTAATTTTTTCAAGTATAATATTATTATTACCATCGTATAATTTTCCCCTCAGTGCCTCCGAACACGTCTCAGGCGGGGTAACAATATATAGATTTTTATGAGAAACTACTATTATATATAGTAAATTATCTCCAGAGGGTTTATCCCTGCGCATCATTAAACTTTTTCTACAGCAGTCTTGTCAAGTCTGCCAAATCAACTGCAATTGTGATTTGTATTAATATACCTAGGTGCATTAGTTAATTATTATCATAATCGATTTATTGTTATCATTATTATTGTTGTTATAATATATTATGTTTGAAGGTTTTATCGATTGTATTGTAATTTAATATTTCAATAATATACGATACAATATGTCTATATACCTATTATGCTTAAGTTTATATACTTCGTCAAACAATAAAGTGTTATGTGTTACACATCGAAACATTTTTTAAAAGCCTTTTTGTCGTTCAGTCAGCGGCATAGCCATGATTATGAAATGGGGGGGTAAACCCCCCAAAACACCCCTGGCTACGTCACTGCCATACTACAGTCATTTCAATAGTTATTGATACTTTGCATTTACGAATGGCGTTTGAATAAATATACCTTGTACGACCGTCGACCAACGGCCTTTGATGGTACAGATCTCTACACTTGTTACCTGCTGTTAGTGTCACACCGGGATTTTTATATTATACACATCGTTCTGCAGGTTTTAAAAAATGAAGACACGTCCGATGAAGTAGGTACCTACACATACGAGGCAGTAAAACATAGGAATACGGTTTTAAAAAATCCACGGTCGTTGCGCGAGCTAAGTAAAAAAAAATAATAACGACGGTGTGTGTAGAGTATATCGAAGCAGGAGTTGCCTATTTAAACTGTGTAAAATACAGGTAAATTTGTTATAAATATATATATAACATTATTATGATATATATACATATATATAACTAATTTTTTAATGCATCAATTAACTCGCAGTAAACTCAAAAACATCAGAAATGTTGTGTATAACGTGCTTTTGTAAAAATCATCAAAATCGTTAGTTTAGAAATTAAGTTATAAATTAAAAAGTGCGAAATTTTTGTGTTAAATTCAAAATCACGGGAGCCGTCGTCGTCGTCGCATCAGCTTTGCCATTGTTACCAAAAATATTACCGTTCTTATAGATTTATGTGTAAATACTCAATATTTAATAACGATAAAAATTAGTGATATCACAACAAAAACCCTTCGTAAGCTACTTGTAAAAATGGCTAAATAAAAAAAAATATAAGATCTTTAAGCACTATAAAAATGTGATATCATCAATGAATGCTATAAGTATATTGAATTTAAGTAAACTTATTTTGTTTCAATAATGTATTTAGGTACTTGGCGAGGAATTATTTAGTATAGTATATAAATATTAATAATAAAATTTCTAAATAATAAAAAGTAAAATTTAGCATTTATTGATTATATCACATCTTTATAGTGCTTAAAACCTTAAATATTTTTTACTTAGCCATTTTTACACGTAGTTTACGAAGGGTTTTTGTTGGGATAATGATATTATCGTATATAAATAAAAAAAATATAAATACATTGCCGATTTAAAAAATCTATAAAAAATATGGTTGTACTTAAGTGTTTGAAATATATATAATTTGTTTCAAATGCCTAATCAGTTATAAGTACCTATTTGTTACAACGAATTTTACAAGGATCATTTATAATACATTATAAAAGTCTCAGCGTACTTTTCGTCTAATAGATTAACTTAACCGATCAATAGATCAATAATATGTCAAATATTGCAGTACTGGAGACTTCGCCCGAATTCAAGATCCAGTCCGTGAGCGAAAATTGTTTCGAGGTTTTCGACATGGTCCTGGCGAATCGAGCGAAAACTTTGCAGTAATCTCGAGATAACAAGAGTTCACAGGCGCACAGGCGATATAAATCGACGCCTGATTTGGCTATGCAAAAGAACTCCGCAGGTGATGCACCCGAAACCCGGTGGCCGTCTACGACCGAAGGAATGCGACGATGTAAATCTAATGGCTGTGCGATTTAACTCCTTAGACGATGTATCAGATATCGAGATACCTTCTGTTGCATCCATGGTGGAGTTGCAAGTTTCAACACCGTCCACCGAGTTGTCAGTATCGGCACCTGCCATTAAAGAAGTTGGCGAGATCGAGGCGCCGTCTGCAGACGTCTCGTGTCAGCTTTGCCTGTACATGTTCAGCCGGTCGAAGCCGACCTGCTGCAGTCAAGTCCTCCAATGAACGACATGGCAGCACCGAAGTTTGACGGTTCCGGGTCTAAAAACAGTTCGACGATACCCTCGATCCACCAGGAAAATATAGCATCCAGGATATGGTGGTAACTCGCGGCGGCTGCAGTGATGCAGTCACCAACCCGACGGTAACCGCGGTAATGTCCAAACGCCGCTCTCTGTGGAGCCGGACCAAGAGATTCGTCCGGCGAATGCTTTGTTGTGGGAGCTAAATAGGCATAGACCGCAATATGTATATGCTGTATCTGTGAGTAACACGAGGAAAAAGAACTACCCAGCAGTAATAATTTTGATAAAAAAATAAAAGTTATAAAAAATAATATTTGGTTGTCATTTCTCTTAAATTAATAATATAATATGTAATAATATGGGTGAAAATAATTAATGTGTTTAATGACTATGTAAAATAATATGTGTAAAAAATAATATTTTGTAATAAATGGTAATTAATATCATTATTATTAATAATGAAATTGTATGTCTAAATACATAAAACTGAAATCAATCAAAAGAGGAAATCTTTGTTACGGTTTGGCTTCGAAACTTCTTATCCAATTGTCATGCAGTTTTTTTTAAATGAAAGAGGATATCACGGAGCAGGTTTTAGGCATAAATAAAGTCCGATAATGTTAGTCAATAATTAGTTATCTATACATATAAAATCCAAATACCACTGACTCACTGATCGCTGTATCTCAACGTACGGACTTGAAATTGGGAATAGAGGTTCTTCTCATATTTTCACCGTGCAATAAGAAAGGATTTGCCAAAATTCGCATTTCAAATAGGTGCTCAAACAGGAACATTGAGATTCACGATGGAAATTGGAAATTTTATATTTATTTATTAATAGTTGCAGCCATTGGTTACAGTCTACAGTAGAAATTAGCATTTATTTATTGGTTGCCATTGGTTATTCGGGCAGATCAGGTACAATAGCTTGCATCAAATCGAATTATTGAACATTGCCTACCAGGGTGGCCGAGTTGCACTTACCGCAGCAAGTTACACCCAAAAGGAGTTCAACAATCATAATTTTTTTAAGAGTTGCAATGAGCAACCAAATTTGTTATATTAATCCACCGTATTATATCGAAATAAACTTGGTATAACTTTGATACTTTAGAGTTATACAATTCCGTACAAATAGCACGGCGTCCTCGATCTACCGCAGGTAGATTGCCTCTACCTGATAATGTACTGCTGCGATTCAGAATTTTTATTCCGGGCAACGGAAAAGATAGATAAATTTTGAACACCATACACCGAATATTTAATAACGAATTGAACAAAGTTTGAGTCATATTGAGTTGATACATTTAACGGGCGACGAAGTGCACGGGATCAGCTAGTATGATATATTAATGAACTGCCTGTACATTTTTTGTCTACAAATTATATATAATATATTGTAATTTGTAAGTAAAAATAATGTACCTAAAAAATTATATAATATCATATAAGATTTTTTATTAGTTTTATGTAAAACAAATAATATATGTATTTTGTAATAAAATAATTATAACAGTACGTAGCTATATAATTTAATGTTTACACAGTGGTCGAAATGGCTCAAGATAAGTGGAGGGATGCCTTACAATTCAGATTTCCTGATATCATCATAACATTCTTCATACCTTGTATAGTATTTTTTTTATAGTTCACATTTTGTTTATGCATCAGAATACTACAATCTTTTTCGATCATAAATAATCTTTAAAACTAAACAAATAAATAACATATTTTCAAATTTTTCAAAAAAAACTGATAAAATATTTTATTTATAATATTTTTCTGTGGACTTATTATCATCAATATTGTTATTGTTTTGTGATATTAAAATATTATGTTATTAGCTCTAAACACGACTAAGGTATATGTAAATTCTTAATCCGTGGCTCTAAATACGGGTATAGATAATATGATTGCGAAACGGCCTATACGAAAAATAAAAAGTTTTTTTATACATAGGTATAAATATAAAAATCATAATAATTATTTCATTTTAAAACACAAGTCTTAGGAGGAATGCGTTATTCTAGACAAAATAAGTAGAGGGATGAAAAATGTAAATACAAAAAAGTAGAGGGATGTCATCCCTCCGTATCCCCCCCCA